AATACTAAATATTTTCTACAAAAAACAAATGCACATTAAATACAAACAAGATGAATCTTCACTTAGAAAAAATATAAATAAATGCACTACCCCTACTGACCCGAATAAAAAAAATCAAATTACTTATCTACTACAAAAAATAAAATAGCTAACCTCATTCTAAAAAATGACAACAGATAAGCAACGTCAAAATTAGAACGAACGAACATTATTTATGAGTTCAAATACCCATTAAGAAACTGCGTTTTTGATCAATTCATAATTTATTGCATCGGTCACACAAATAATGCCTAACGTTACACCTATCCGACCACAGATCTATTCAAACACATACACAAACTTAACACACTCCATCGGAAACATACTAGTAGAAAACACAAACCTCATCCACCAGTAAAAAAAAAGATAAAAAATAATGGAAGCCCTTATAACAAAAAAGAAAAAGCCAAGCAATTAACAATATTAACTACGAACACGGCCACAATGTGCTAACTGCGTTCGGAAAATAAAACATCTCTATAAACATACACACAACGCAGGCATTGAATTAAACTGAATAAATAAAATCATCCTTTATAATGACTAAAATTATATTGGAATTATAGAATATTTGGACAGTTTCTCTACACACTCTTTGTCAAAAAAAGAAAAAAAAACTTGTTTGAACACAAGAAAAATGAAATAAAAAGCTTAATCTTACTACTTTGTCTATAGTTCTAAATGATACATGCATAAATGAAGGATTGCTGCCTATATATATATATATATATATATATATATATATATATATATATATATATATATCAATCCAATCACGGCCGTACAGCCACTAAGACACAAAGGGTTACTGGATGTGGAAAAAGGTTGGGTTTAAACAAATATATATATTTATAAAATGCGACATTACATCGTTTATCCATCAATATCTGAAAAAGTCTGCTGGATGCTTTGTACTTCGTCAAAGGTTTTCTAAACATAACACCTGATCAAAAGGAAATAATTTTACATTGCCACAAATCAATTTTTATTTCACAATGATATAACCTGGGTTAAGAAATCAAAAAACAGACAGCTTTGATGTACCACAAGGTTCGTTTGATTTCGCTGAGGTTTCGGAGTTAATAGGCCTACATATTTTATATGAAATTAACACAATTGTACATAGAAACAACCACGGTCTGTATAGGGATGATGGTCTGATGATAACGCCAGACAACATTAGAACAAATGACACTATAAGAAAAGCGATTTTCAAACTCTTCAAATGTCTTTGCTTTGAAAAAGAAGTCGAAATGAATAAAATGTTGTCAACTATCTGGACGTAGAAATAAATCTGCAAGCTGGCAGTGTCTCCTCATACATAAAGCCTAACGCAAAATTGAATATTAGATCTAACCTTCGAACAAAATTAATAGGATAAAAAGAAAGAATATGGAAAGAACTTAAAGGTAGTGGGTCAAAAATTCAAACTAGAATTTAAAGCTCAAATTAAACAACTTATAATGAACAATTCGAGGAAAAAAAAATATAATTTGTTTTAGCCCCACTTTTCACTTTTCTCTTCAAAAGGGGGAGTTATTTTTCAAGTTACTTACTAAACACTTCCCCAAAAATGCAGAATTATACAATATATTTAATAAAAAACATAGTGTAATTAAGCTAGAGCTGCATTATTAATTTACAAACATAAGTAGACAAAACGCCGGAAATTTCAAAACTAACGTGCAGCAAAATAAAATTAACACTAGTAATTTATGCAACTGTAGAAATAAAAATAGATGTCCATTAGATGGATCTTGTAAAAGCAATAATATATAAACCATAAATAATAGATATTAACGGTCAGAATAAACAGTACATAGGATGCACTGAGGGTACGTTCAAACGTAAATGGTACAATCATAGATCGTCATTCAAGCTAGTACATCTTAGGAGATCTACCAAACTAGCTAACTATGTGTAGAATTAAAAAAAGAAACAAACAAAAACAACAATAACAGATATCCGATTATAAATTGGAAAATTTAAAAAAGGCAAAGTCTTATAACAACTACAATAATATTTGAAGAAAATTTAGCCATAAAGATATTTCCGGATACGAAGAATATTTTTAACAAGAGATCTGAAATCATGACCCACTGCGTACGTACAAAAGTTACTCTGAAGTTCATATGAGGCTGAATGAAAATGTATGTACATTTCAGTTAACCCAACCGATACATTTATAATACCCTTGATTTTCTTCCCCGTCCTGTTTGTTGTTGTTGTTGTTGTTGTTGTTGTTCTTCTTCTTCTTCTTCTTCTTCTTCTTCTTCTTCTTCTTTCTGGATTTATAGGGAAAGAATGGTCAAAATCGGGAAGAGAACGTTTAGAGATATAGAGAGCGTGGACATAAGAAGAATAAACACTGCATAGTGAACGTCAGTTATATGTATCAATGCGGTCTACTTACTAAATCACACCTGTCCTGTAACAAGATGTCTATATAGCTCACTAAGACAACCAATTAAAGCAAGCGAAGAAATAAACCCGCCCTTCGCCGTTCTTTTGTTTAAGATTATTTGTTTAAATTATTTATCGTTATCACCAGTAGATCGATCATTTTATTTACATACATTATTTATTTATTTATATATTTCAGTTATTTATTTATTTTGTATATATTATAAATTTCAGTTATTTATTTATTTATTTTGTATATATTATATATTTCAGTTATTTATTTATTTATTTTGTTCGTTTTACTTTCGTATGTCCCTTTGTTCCATGTTTTGTTATTTTGAATAAAACAGATAAGATTTAGGGTATGCGATTTCATCTACTCCTTTTGCTGATGATGTAATTGTTGGTAGCTTAGTAGGATTTTGTTATCTTGCCTGCATTTGGAAATTACTTCATATCTATTCATCTATCTCTTTATACATACGCACACACACACACACACACACACACACACACACACACACACACACACACATATATATATATATATATATAATAAAAAATACTAAAAATAATGGAAACACTAATTATAAAAAAAGTAAAAGCAAACACCCAATACTGTTGAGGAGTCTACCCCTTTTTATACAAATGAACTCACCCAGTGTGTACTTATACTACTGCCTGTGAATACCCGGGAGTTGAGTCGAGTCGAGTCCAGAGTGACAGAGTAAAAGGTTGTAGGTAACCGGAAGAGTGAGGGTGAGGTAACAGCGTTGTAGGAATCACAGTGAGCGAGCACGTAGACTCAAAAGAAGTCATACAGCGATACTTCAATACCAAAGACTGTATATATATTTGGCTACTAACCCGTATTCCTGGAACTACTAACCTGCTTTACCAGTTTGTATTATTACGATTAATACATTATTTTCATATATTCATTCCTGGAGTTAGTTAAATACTATGAACAATGAACACGGCCACAATGTGCTGACTATGCTTGGAAAATAAAATTAAATATTCCATCATTCTAGATTCATATGTAAAATATATATACATTCAGATAATAAACTTATAGAATAGCCAAAGTAGCTCGAATATATAGTACATCTGAACTGTTTTGACACCCACTTTGTGTCCAGAAAAGAAAACTCCTATAAGAACACAAGATGCATTGAATAAACTGATGAATCGTAGTACCTAGTCAGTTGTATTTAATGAAACTTTTATAAAAGTGGTATTGCTGCCCCCAAATATACAGACTGAAACAAGTCTTGGAGAGGCGATACACATAGAACTTGTATTTTAATGGTATACTCTAGTTCATAAAAAGATGATCAGAGAACGGCGCAATCGTCAAGTGATGCTGAGAGGTAAGTAGATGGAGAAATAAAGAAAATGGTAATGTTTTTCTAAGTCAAATTCGAGATGATCAAGCAAGCTGTATCTAATATTTATATTGATTCTCCAAGTTCAATATAAGCAACAACGGCAACCCGCTGAGTAAAAATGGAATAGTATGACATTTTCTCTTCGAACTAAATTCGAATTTGAAATCCACAATGACCTATTATACAAAACTTGGCGATTTATGATTAATCTGGAGAATAAATTGGAATCCCATGACAATAGATGCCGAGTAAAATCCTGACATTAAATGCAATGACTATATATCAAATGATGGGATCAAGTTAACCGTGCCAGAAACAATTTGAAGTTTTCGTAAGTTAGGACATATCTAGAAGCACCTTAGAAAACCTGGAAACGTGGCGGTTAAATGGGTAACAGTAAGATAAACCAAGAGACTAAATGGCGACAATTAAGATGGACCTGGTAGTGGTCAATAGAAGTGGAGTCGACACCAGCAGGCAGACTTATGCATGTGTCGAATATAATTTGGAAACGAAAGGAAATAACCTAAATGCTTGCCATTTGTTTAATGCTGCGCAGATATTACAGATTATTGCGAATTCCAGTTTTTCCAATCTTTTGATAAAATAAATGACAACACTTGCCCTCAATTATAGGATAATTATAAGAAATGCGATTTGCATATAATGATGGAACGCACTATATCGCGTTATGACATTTACTATATCATTGATATAATTTATAAGTTCGTATATGGCGATATTTTTATTAGTAAAACAAAAATGTCCGGTTCATTAACACTTAATTAACTAGATTAAACAAAGGTTTCACTTTAGAATTCCTTGTAAATTAGCCGGATTTACCTGAGAGATAGCGAAGGCCACAACACCGAAACATTGTGATAACAACTGGGGTGAGGGACAAGTTGGCATTGTGTAAATAATTGATTCTTTTTTACATCATACGCACGATAATGAATTATGTCGAGAGTCTTTTGCATCATGGAATTCTCAAGAATTTTTGTATTCTTCATTGAAAATAAATATCGTATTTGACATGGGAATGAAAAATGGGAAAGTGTAGTGGAAGTCTTGCTCTTCAGTTCCTTGTTTAAGAATCTCTTAGTTTAACGGATCCTTCAAATATGAAGCATATTGTCATACTATGTATGGAAACACCATAAATAGATCTATCTATCTATCTATCTATCTATCTATCTATCTATCTATGTCATTCTGTTGTTTACCTGTGTAAATATCGATGTGTCATTCGATCTATCTATCGATCTGTCACAATCTGTTCCTATCTATCTATCTATCTATCTATCTATCTATCTATCTCATTCTGTTCTTTATCTATGCATCTGTCGATCTCTCTTTCGGTCTATCTATCTGTCACTATCTATCCCATTCTCTCTTCATCTGTGTATCTATAGATCTATCTTTCAATCTGTCTATCGAGCTGTCACAATATATTCCTATCTATCTATCTATCTATCTATCTATCTATCTATCTAGAAGCATTTCGCAAATAAATATATCATTTGCCAAATTTCGAAACAATGCATAATTAGCAAAATAGAATTTGGGGAACACTGTTGATTTTTTTTAATGTTTCCATTTATACTGGGTGGACGACCTCTCTTCTTCTCGTTCATTGGTTTCTTGCACGTTGTCAGCCATTGAAGTGACAAGCTTTGCAATCTTCGACTGGGGAATTATCATCAAAGCTAAATGCAGAAATTGAAGCAAACCATGAAGGCAAGCAGTGTTCACCCATATCTAATGCAATGTTGTATCTAATATGGCCCAGAAATATCCAATCCGGTACGTGTCCGGTAACAAGAGTAAAAAACAAATTTCGTGCTTATCACGCCCGGAATACTTTTGCAGCATGGAATGGAGCGCCACCTTGCATGAAATGTGTGGTGCTCTTTGCCATTTCATGACTGGAAAAAAATGTAAAGAATTAATTCCTGAAGTTTAGAAATATATTTTTCCGCCTAATGTTGCTGAAATATTCTTCGAAGCGCTGGGTGAAGATTTCTCCAAATCTTTCTCCCGACCATTAACAGAGTACTACCATGTTTGACAGTTGATCGCAGGCGTTTTTAGGAAAACTTTAGACACAGGCAGAGAATTGGATAAAGGATGGTTCGTCCAAGATGTCATAAATTCGATTTTTCTTGGAGATGCTTATCACAATAATTTCTTTACTTAACCTCTGAAACTTCTCTTGAGTTGCAATCCACAGATCGCTGAATAATTTGGAGGCATCATTTTGAGGGTTCAATTCCCTCAGAAAGTGGTAATGCATTTTTCCTTTATATATATATATATATATATATATATATATATATATATATATATATATATATATATATATTATATATATATATATATATTGACTGAGTTAAGATATGGTTTCTTCGCTAGACAGTAATAACCATGTTTCAAAAATCGAAGCTGAAAACTTCAAATGTAATTATATAATTAAATTAAAATCATTAGTTCTGTTTCAACTTCAAGCGAATTTTGTAATAACTTATTTTTAAATTTACCGAGTTTTAAACGCACATGTAATTCATAATTTCTTGTTTCCAAGGATACAGAGAAATCCAATCATTCAGACAGGGGCTGTAGCTTGTTCCTTTTTATTAAATGTTGTTGTATCAATTATGAGTTACGTTCGAAAAAGAGGTTAAGACTAGGCAGGGTAGGGGTGCATTGTTTTCAGCATTTTTCCGTTAAATTCATACTTGTATAGTTAAAGGTTCTTTCTAAAAGGGGTGTTTATGCTCTGTAAATTTATATTGAACACTGTTTTGTATAAAAAATACAAAAATAAAAAGGACACCGGATTATATATCTTACTTTTCTTTATATATATATATATATATATATATATATATATATATATATATATATATATATATATATATATATAGTAAACCTAATGAGCCAGACAAACGTACCTAGGTTTCACCTACGCGGATCGTCAGGCTATAATGGCCAGTTTACCCTGACGATCCGCGTAGGTGAAACCTAGGTAGGTTTGTCTGGCTTTTTAGGTTTTCTTACTTAGTTTGCTCTACTTAGCGTATTGAGCACTTGGCTTAGTTATTTTTATTTTACTCGTGTCGGAAGTTTTTTTTTCTTTGGACTCTGAACTTAGATTCTAGACAATTGGTCTGTTAATTTAAAAGCTAAAACAAACACCTAAGGTTTTGCCGGATGAGTATAGCCGCTTATAGTTATAAGATTATTAGTATTATATATATATATATATATATATATATATATATATATATATATATATATATATATATATATATATATATATATATATATATATATATATATATATATATATATATATATATATATATATATATATAATATTACAAATATTTTAACTAGTATATTCATATTATCCATCGCTATCAAGATGCCTTATGAGTGATCTTCTTTCTCTTGTCCTCGGTATGGTGATAAACGACTTCCTACAGCAAGACCTCTGATCAGTTCTGCAGAGCGTGGGACCACCCCTTAATTGCTGGAGTTCCCAGGTCCACCCTGACACCGGGTGGTAGCACCTGTCAGAGTCCCAGCTCTGGGCAAATTGTTACCCCCACAAAAGGGGTCAAAACGATAATAGAGTATAAAAATAGGTTTTAATACCAGCAATAATGATGGGGAAAATTTTTTACCAGTAATACTTTTTTGAAAAAAAAAATAGCAATATATTTTGAAGACGAAAAATATTACAAGCAATACATTTTGGAAAAAAAAATATTACCAGCAATAAAAGTTTTGTCGGCAGTAAATAACCCATTGAGTTGATATACCGTAAAATAAAGCAATCCAAACAATCCAATCCTCTTTTCTCATTATATATCCTGTCTCATTTTGATTGTAAGTATACTTTTCCTTGTAGATCCTATTTCCTTTCAGACTGATTTGCTCACGTTCTAGTCATTGTAATTTTCGGATTCGTCTTTGGAACAGCATTTCTGTCGCTTAAAGACTTTTCTTTATTTTTTCTTATGAATGTTTTCAACATTAACTGCTATAGAGATTTCGACATCATATCTCACCAATTTCTTTCTTTCTAAGCACATATTTCTGTATTTTACTATTCAGATTAATTTACATTAATTTTTTTGAGACATCATTTGCTATTCTAATGCACCTCCAGATTTCTGTGTCATATTTTGCGCCTTGTGTTATTAAACTATAAAAGCTTTGATTTTGACGCCATTAATGCATAGCTAAGAGCTTGGGCTGTCTCTTCTACTTGTCGTCTTTTCTTGTTTGCTTTCCGCTGTTAACTTTTTCTTTTAATTTCCCTTCCAAGTAGGCCATCAACCCATTGTCATACAAATATATTATGCTGTTATTTTCGCCTATAGCACTTTGACATGGTATAATGGATAAAAAGCTTGATCAAATATAAGCAAGTTGTGGGTTAAAACTTCAATGTTGTTCCATACTTTCGGTCTTGTGTCACATCTCATCTACAAGGTGATTGAAAAGTAACTCCCTATTTTAAAATAAATTTTATTTATCAACTATAATTTTTATAAGAAATGGATATGGGAGGAAAGCGTTTAGTATGAAGTTTTATTTAAAATTCGATACCGGCACCCGATTTCGCTACCACCTTCTTGATCAGCCGATGAATTGCAACTGATTTCACCAGAAATTGCAGTTGATTTCACCAGGAAGTCTTGTGGTGTGGAAGACATAAATTATTGTATTCGCCCTACAAGTTCTTCCAAAGTTTTGGTTTTATATAGTTCGATACTCAATAGTTGACTCATACATTCGACCTCTGTCACAACTAAGCTATGCTTAGTTAATTGCTATATAATGACCGCTGATGTCGCAGTCGAATTTAGTTCATTCCCTCTGTATTCCATTTGTAAGGAGGAACTTTCACTTTTTCTTGTGAGCTGTTACTTTGTGCAACACAGTATGTTTCCCTAAACGCTGCAATCTTAACCTTTTTAATGTCCAGTCATTAACAATCCTCCTTATCTTCATGCCATTTACTTCCTTTTAATTTCTCTTCTGTTCCTTATTACACAACTGAGTGAGCAATACTCTACCTTGAGTGATTGTTTAGATTTACATTACGTAACTTTAGTATTCAAAATAAATCCTAGTAGAGAAAGGGACCGTAAGAAATTGAACGAAAACAATTGAAAATAATTTAAAAAAATCAATAGACCAAACATAATTCACTTTTTCTTTTATTTATCTATGCTACACTTAGTCAAGTTGTTTTGTAAATTTGTTACGAAGACATTTTTTTTTATTATAGGACATCTTTCTCGTTTGGACTTTTTCCTTCGTCCTATCTATCAGAATTGTATTTTCTAATCTATTCTTTCCTATTTTTATTTTAATTTAATTTTTTCGAAATATTTTTCCTCATATAGAACATTAAAGATATTGGTAGACACAAAGTTTCGGTCGATTACACTGTAGTCATCTTCATGTGTCCACAGTTTTAGCTAATACGATTTTGATTATTTTATTTTTACTTTTTGATGTCAGTTGTTTCACTAACTAAACAAAGAATTTCAATCGCGTCAAAGAAATAACGAAGCGTGCTAGGTGAACACAAAGCCACCAAAATAACAGTGACTATAGCCATTACATCACCGTCCCGAAAAAGATCAATGGTTTGTTAGTATTTTGTTCCATTGACCTATTCTTTTGCGGCTTTTAAATTAATCGTGTTTTCAGATTCAGAGATTAGTTATTTTTTCATTATTACACATAGGTTATAATTCATTTTGAGTAATTTAGTCTCGTCTTCCAGCGATCTATCTTGAGCCGTTAAACTTCAGGGTGATCTGAAAATCTTGCCACCCCTACATCCTGAATCCAGTACACGTGATTTGTATTTCTATATTACTTGCTCTTCTATTTTTCTCAGTACTTTTTGGTAGGGGATGACAAGACTTTCGTACCACACTGGACATCGCTCGGTTTTTTTAGAAGAAAGTAGAAAATTTGGACACGACACAGACTTGATAAAGAAAACAGTAAAGAACAGAACAAATCTAAATCTGTGAAACAATGAGAATATTTCATCATAGAACTCCGGAAAAAATCCTCTTGTGACTAGACTAGTTAACAATTTTGTGGAATAAATTTTATTGGTTGATTTAACGTTATATCAAACATTGTTGGGATATTCAAACCCTAAATTTGTGTGAGGGCAGCCAGTGAGGATCGAACTCAATTCGCAATAGTAACGTCAACCAGACTAGCCTTGTTTAACAATTACCCACAACTGAAACATTCCAGATAAAGTCGAAACGATAATTAGATTAGTAAAAACGTCGCTACATGGCATAAGCTCCCGTGGTACGAAATGCGCTTTCGACTTTCATCTAGAGTAATTTATTTGTTATGACCTCTCGCAATTTATACTGAACTTTCAAGATTTCAGTCAAAAAACTTATTATTGTAATTGACCATCACAAAGTATCATCATTATTTTC